GTGTGTGTGTGTGTGTGTGCACGCGCAAGTGTGTGCGTGCAAAAAGTCCTCTAGACAAGGATCAAGAATGAATGATGCAAATAAAAATGTGTATAAATGCACAATCAAATATCACCAGAACTAACTATTAATTGAGGAAAGGGGGGGAAATGAGGATTGGCATCAAATATAGAAATCAGAACCGCAATAAACACACATGCTAGCGCGAGAGCAAAAAGTCCTCTAGGCAAGGATCAAAAATGAATGATGCAAATAAAAGTGTGCATGAACACGCAATCAAATATCACCAGAACTAACTATTAATCGACGAAAAAGGGGGGAAATGAGGATTGGCATGAAATATAGAAATCAGAACTGCAATAAATAAATAGACTATGTTGTATAAAAGTATTATAGGATCAGCTTTAAATAGCTTCAGTTTGAAATATAATGTGAATCAGATCAAAATTGAAGGTAATAGGCATGCAAACTAAAGACCTCAGGTCTATTCTTGATATTCTTCGCCCTGTGTGCATAATCAAGAGTGCTGAGGGTCTCCTCAAGGCAATGCACAGAAGGGGACACAGTCGCAATTATGCATGTCTTAGTCCTTCCACCCAAAGAATCACGTAATAACCTTGTAAGCTTGCTATCCCTGCATATATTTACATGTCAAGTCAGCTGAAAGAAGCAAAGATACTGCCAAAACCATCATTGAATTACAAAAACAAGAAAAAGCAAGGCACAAGGGGAGATATTTTCACGAGTATGACAGGAAAGTAGTTACCTATAAGGAACATGACCAAGATGCTCCACAAGAGCCGTGATAACACGGCCTAAAGTAAGTAAGCTTTTGTTTATCTCTCCTGCTTCCCTAGCTCGGCCCTTGCAAAAGTCAAACACCACAACAAACAAAAGCACTTTAGACAAGCCATATAACAAATAATTAGAAGGATACAAAAATGGGTGACAACAATGAAATTTATATGCATCTAACCAGCATTATGCCAGGTAGAAGCCTGGGACCACTCAACAAGCACAATGATATACCAAGCAAGAACAAGTAAACCTACTTACAGAGATCGAAAATTTTACCTCTCTAGCCCCAGAACGTGAAATGTTTTCGGACCCAGCAAGATCTACTAAGTTAAGCTTTCCACATTTTATTAGCTCCTCACCTTCGGGCGTGGATTCCTTGATGTGAATTGTAATAGAAAAGAGTGAATGGGAACGACTGGTCACACATAAAATATAAGTACAGAAATAAAACAAGTTGTATTTTGTATATAAATTGAATAGCCAAAGCAAACATAAAATAAAATCATAAATCCATCACCTAGATTGTTTGTTCAGTAAGGTCTCTGCAGTGCGCCTCTTTGCAGATCCTCTTTCTAAAAGTGTGAAGATTTCATTGGCACTTGTCACAATTTCCTCCTCAAGTCCCCTAACCAAGACACCACCTTTCCCATCCTCCATAAGAAGTAGGGGCTTCTTTTGTTTCTCATCAAGGGCTGCCTTGGATATTTCTTCAGGGGCCAGCAAATCTGTTATCTCCTCATTATACAACTCCAGGAATGTAACTTTTACACTATACTCTGCATTTTGACCTTCCAGTGTATCAAAAATTTGTTTCACGGCTCTAGGTATCACACCAGCACCAGGAGGAAGCTCCCCATTCTGTCCACAATAATCAATTAAAAAATAACCCATTTCATATTCGCACTCGCATTTCACAGGAAACTAAACCATTTTTAAGTTAACCCAGGCCAATTCAAAATAAACCAATTTTAAATTCAAAGTATCCTTGCAAATGTATCATATATGCAATACATTGCATGGACAAACGAATTTTCACCAGCCAATTCAAAAATGTTCCATTTCAAATTCAAATTATACCAAAAATAATTCATTTCAAGTTCACACTAGCCAATTCAAAAGGCAACCCATTTTAAAATCCCAATAATAATTGCCCATCCATGAGACATAAATATGTATAAATCATTTTTTTTTCTTTCTAATCAATCCTCACACCTTGTGATTACCAGTTTATAGGAAGGGACATGAAAACTGAAAGCTTTTCATTGAGACTAAAAAAGAAACATACCAAATTATGGGCCCACCAAATGAATAATACCTTGGACTTCTTACTGTCACCTTCCATTGTATAAGTCTTCCCTGTACCCGTTTGACCATATGCAAATATCGTGCAGTTAAATCCTTCTAACACTTCATTTACAATCGGAACCACTGCTTGTTCATATAGATCACTTTGATGTGCAGATGGACCAAAAACCTATAATTCATAACAGCGGGAAAAACAAAATCAGCCATCTACACATCCATCACATTTAAACAATCAGCTTGCAAGCCAAGAAGAGAAGAAAAAGGAAACAATATGAGAAAATAACCAACTCACCCTGTTGTCAAGGAGAGAATAATGAAAAGGCATAAACTGTTGTATAAAAAATATAAAGAGCAATGCAACTACAAGGTTTCAGATTTAAAAACCACTAATCCATCACACACCAAACAATATTTCTTTACCATTAACCCCAAATCATAAACTCACAGGAAAAAAAATCTTATGTGTTTTTCACTACCAATAATCTATTCCAATTTTTTAGATGCTAAATGCACAAAATGATTACCAAATGTTTCAGAAGTAACAATTTATTCATCCAAAGACTAATGATCAAAATGCAAACCAAAACTACCAATGCAAAAAAAAACAAGAAAAAGATCGTCTATCAAAATCCAAATCTAACCTTATCAAAGGTGAAAATTCGATCTATCTGCTTTCCTGCAATATTTTGAGATACAGCAACCTCCCGTTGCCATTCATTACAGGTGATGACCTGAGGCGCATTGCACCTTAACTCGTCATCACTGAAAGGCCTGAAACAAAAACTTGCCGATGGAGAACCAAGCACCAGAGAAATCCACATATAATGAACCAAAATTGGAGAAAACCACACAAATGGAAATATAGACACCGACAGAGCGTAGAGATAGAAATAGAGAGGGAAATGGAAGATTGAGGGTCGGATCTGAGAGAAATTACCTGCATCTGAGAAGAACCTGGACATTGACGCCCTTTTCCTTTTCATGCCGGCCTGCCATTTAGGGTTAACGAGCGAGAACCCTTACTTTCTCTCTCTGCTTTGCTTTTTTATCAGGGTAGAGAGAGAGTGATTCTCTTCAGTGGAAGAGAGTGTCCCTTCAGTAGAAGAGAGAGAGAGAGTTTCTCTTCAGTGGAAGAGCGGGATGCGTGCGTTTTGAATTTTTGCCCACCACTTATGGATGAAATGCCAGGATCTCTTTACGAAAAATGGCCCTGACATTTTGCACATGACGATTCAGGGCAGGCGCATGGGAGGGATAATTTTTATTGCCACTTTGGATGGCTAAAAATTGCAATATCTTCATATTACAAGAAAAATAAATAAATAAATAAGACAAAAGGTAAGAAATGCTTAAATCTTTTTGACTTAAGTCTTGTTTTTCTTAGAACTTTACCCTCTCGTGCCTCTCTTTATGTAACTCTCACACTCTTCACTCTCCTCCGTGCTTTTCCCTCGTCTCCTCCCTGCTTCTTGTCTCTATTTATAACCTTCTCCATTTTTCTCAACTAAAGAAATTGAAATCCTACTCCATTTTCCTTCTCACTCCTTTTCTACTTCTGTCCTCCTTACTTTTTGGCCATCTCTCTCTCTCTCCATCGCCTTCTCTTTCGATGGGCACGAAATGCAAGGCAAAACAGGACCACAATCGAATCAGCTTAGACTCCGAAGAAGAAGCAGAACCAAAAGCACCTTATCACCATATCTCGATTTGAGAAGAAGAAGACCTCGACGAACTCTTATAACCATTCACCAAAGAACAGCTCATAGAACTCATCAAGACTGCAGTTTTCTTAGATCCCAATGTCCTCAACGAAGCTCACAGTCTTGTAGACAGGGACCCATCTCATTGCAAGCATTTTGTCCATGCTTTAGGTTGGGGCACCACCTCTGAAACCCTAGCTTCCACCTTCTCCAGTTATGGCGAGATCGAAAACTGCAATGTGGCCTCTAAGACATCAACTGAAAAGCGAAGATGGAGAAAATTCTCCTCCAGTGATGGATTAATATACTGGCCCCAAATATCAATATTTTAGGGGCTCAAGATGGGGTAGAGGGTTTTTTTGACAAATCAATGAAATTAGACTCCAAACAGTCTACCGACATAATAAAATAAGATGAGAATGATTTTCAATTGAGGAGAAAAAACTTGTAAGTTTTTTTTATGTACACATTTTTTTTTTTTTGACATCCAAATTGGCCTTGCTGTTCTAAACGTCATAAAAAATGTGATCATGTCATGACTTGTAGTCCTCAAAACCACAAGAGATTTGTGCTCACGACATTTACAATAGTCCAACAACCGAGTGAATGATGGACAAGAAGTGGGACAAAGTACAACCCTTTTCCATAATCCTAGTTATGCTCCAATGACTAGTTGGGCCTACTTGTAGAGGATAAAAACAAAAGTTTGGAAAAAATAAAGAAAAATAATAATACAAAAAATTAAAAAAAGAGAGATACAAAGATTTATGTGTTCAGCAAGTTGCCTACTTTTATGGGGTAGTAAAATTCTCTTCCACTAATAAAAAAAATATCATACAAGCAACGATACAAGTTCTCTCAAGCCCTAAAACATGGTCTTTCTCTCTTTAGAATACTCACCAAAAGACTAAATAAAACTAACTCTTCTCTTTGTTTTTTTTTCTTGCACACTTTTTCCATATGTTCTCTCTCTACAAAAACTATTTTTGTAAAGAAGAAAGCACAAAGGCCTACCACTTGAGACCCTTCTTTATCCCCATTCCTAATTTGATTAGATTTTCTATTTCTATGGGTTTTCTTCTCTTTATATAGGAACTCTATAATATATGGGAAACTTTTGAAGCAATCACATATATCGCTCTTTTCTTAAAAATATAAAAATATGGGCTTCCAAACTAACATTCTCACACTTGAAGACATATTTTCATTCTGACTAGTCTACTTTAAGAAATTGTTGCTTGCTAATCATCAAGCAACCACAAGTCCCAATGAAGTTCTACACTAAGTGAACTTCCTTTTCCTAATGGGCTTAGTCAATATATTCGCTGGATTGTCATTGGTATGAATTTCTTGCAAAAACATCAGTCCATTGTCTACCAGATTATGAATAAAGTGATATTGAACACCAATCTGTTTAGTCCTATCATTGAAAGTTGGATTCTTTTCAAGAAATAAGGTACTCTGGCTATCATAATGAAGCGGTGTACCTTCTTTCACAACTCAAACTTTACCAAGTAATCTATTTAAACAAATTGCTTCTTTATATGTATGAGTAAGTGCCATATAGTCAGCCTCTATAGAAGACCAAGCCAACACAAATTACAATCTTAGTAACCAACGAACTACAAAAAAATATATAGCTAATAGTAGATCTTTTTTTATTCAAGTCACCTGCAAAATCTACATCAACATAACCAGTGACTTTCAAATTCATTCCACTGTAACAAATACCAGCATTACAAGTTCCCCTTCAAATACTAAAGTATCTACTTCATAGCAGTCCAGTGATCAAAGCTAAGATTTGTCATATATCTACTCACAACTCACATTGCTTGTGCTAAGTCAGGTATGGTGCTAACCATAGCAAACATGAGGTATTTGAGATATTTATGTCTTCTTTGATTTGGTGCAAGGACATTGTTTCAAAGACTACTTTATATGCATATGAAATGGGGTACTAACTGGTTGGCATTTTGCATATTGAAATGCCGCATAACTCTCTCCACATAACTCTTTTGAGTTTTTTACGCTCCGAATTGCACCGATCACAAAGAGATATCAACTCAACTACCATGCAAATGAGTTATTTTTATAAATAAGTCGAGAGAGCGGGATCGCTCAGATTATGGGCTCAGAAACATCTAAGACTTATACAAATCTGGTTCTTTTTTGAGTCCACTGGCAATGCAAGTTTCATGATCTATGTATATAACTTTCAAATACATCTAAATTTTACTAAATTTAATACTAACAGAAATTACAAAGAAATATGAACTAATTTAATGAAAAACAAACTAAATTAAAAGGGAGAAAATATACTTACCTAGGGGACCCGAAACCCAAAGTTCGGGCTTAGTCAGACTGCTCTTCTAGTGCCACAATCTCCTCTTTGGATGCTTCTTGTTTACTGAAAATTGGTCAATCTGATATTCTTTCACCTAGATCTAGGGTTCTTAAGGCAAGAAAAAGTACTTAGGTTTTCCTAAGGTTAGAAGATGGTTTTTCTAAAGTTTCTAAGGGTTTTGGGGTCTCCTATTATCAAATACGAAATGTTTTATTTTCTGGGATTTTTTAGGGATCTAATGTATTATCTTATTTTATGGGAATTATAGGGATTTTTCCAAATTTAAAATTTCCTAGGGATTTCAGTCAATTTCCTAAGGATTTCATAGTATTTCAAATTCTTTTCAATGTATTTTGGATGGGGTATTTATAGGTTGAAGAAGGGTTAGGTTTGAAATTAGATCGGTTCGATCCAATGGTCTAGATTCAATAAAAAAAGAAGTCCAATTTCTAGAAATAAATGTATTTTTCACCTTTTTTTACTGTCAAAACCTCTTTCAAAAATGACCCACCACCCCAGGCCCATCGGGCTGTGAGTGCAGTGTGTGAGGAGGGCCACCTCGTGCAGCTCGACGAGCTGTGTAGTGCGCCCTAACATGGCCATTTGGCAAATTGCACCCCTTATCTTTTGAGGCTTCTGATTTTCAATCTACACGTCCAATTCGGATGATTCTTGGACTTTTGGAAAACTCTCGGGGTCTACTTCAATTTGGGATAAATTTTGGGTCATTTTGGGATAATTAAATTGGATATAGGTGCTCTGAGTTCTACTAGGGTCTATGTGAATAGACTTAGGATTTTTATGAAGTCCCTTGGCCAAATTTTCGAAGGGGTGTCTGCAGTTGCCCCTCATTGGCATTCACCTAGGGTACTAGATGAATGACAAAGAAGTAGTCACCTGGGACATGATGGAAATGATTTTTGAGGTTTTATCCTCTTGAATGACCAATACTCTTTGGGGAGGCGGTACACCAATGGATATTTTTTATCCGTCAGACGTCGAACTGAAACAACACTATCTTTGAGGTAGTAGTATTGAGAGGTCTTCGACCATCGGTATTTGAAGTGACAATTGACAGGAATTGTGCCATTTTTGAGTTGGTGACACAACCTGGGACGCCAATGTACATATCTTTGACTTTAGACCTTTTTTTCTTGGGGACTAGTTTTCAATCAAATGGAATTCTGATTTGAGAAGAAATGACGATGATGAATTCCTAGATGGTTCAACTTATGTTCGCCTAAGATTTCTAATTCTTGGGACCCACATGTTCAAGTTTTGTGGTTTAGGAACCTGCGAGTTGTTCTTCTTGGAAGTTTGCATCATGCCATCTTGGATTTGGTGGCGATAGAACTATCATACCCAAGCCTCCTTGAAACTCCTTTATTTTTTAAAATATTTTAGAAGATTTTGAAGATGGGTAGAATTCTGAAACTGATACAGAGTTCCGAGCTACTTTTTAACCAAAGAAATTAATATTTTTGAAAACTTCACAGAAACATATAGGGGAGTTTTTAAGATAGGGGAGAATTTTGAAAAAGAAAAAAAAAATGTTAGTTAGCCTTTTTAAGCTCGTACAACCATTGATCCCCTTGAGTAGTTTTATGTCATTTAGGGATGGACATATCCTTTTTTGTCACATGGGTTTGACGATGAATATGATTGGGTACCCTATCTTTTTGTCGTTATACAGGTTAGACATCTTCCTATCACGGCTCTTTTATCTTGCACGAGTTTGACGTTTTGAGATATATTTCCCAATTGTTTCACGTCGTACAGATTAGATGTCTTTCAACTGAATTTTAGTTGGTGAGCCATTTTAGCTCGTGTCACCTTGGCATTCTGTAACATTGAAAATGATAGATGAAGGGTTTTTAAGATTTCTGATTCTTTTGGAACGTGTCAGACATAGTGAAGAATTGTCTCTGACTGTTCGGATATCATTTGTAGCTGATTTCACTCTTTTCTAGGTGTTCGATCTTTGATTTTTTATTTTCCTGATTTTTCATCTTGTTTCTGGATTTTTAGGGCTAATTCATGTACGACATGAGGCGTGTCGAGCAGTTTGGCCTGACATGTTGTACGTCATGAACTTGTCCAATAACATAATGGTTCGTGATTTTGAGCCCTATTGAGTCCTATTTTGAATTGAATTTCAGTTCCCTTGTATTTCTATATATATGGCCTCTCTTGGACAGAATCATTCTTTCTCCTAGCTTTCTCTCTTTGGGAGCATTTGTTTGCTGGAAGATAAATGTTCCCTGAAAAAAAAAAAAAAAAGTCCTTCTTTGTTGGGAAGTGGACGTATTTGTTCTGGAAGGTTTAAATAAGTTCTGGGTATTGTGTTTGATAACCTCGCTTATTTAGGGTCAGGACAAGTTCAGGGCGCTGAGCCTCTTAGATCATTTCGAAATCCTCCCAGCCTCTTAACTCGGTCTGGCTCCGGTTCCCTCGTAACTTTGCACGGTTTCACGTACCCACTTGATATAAGGCTTGAGATTTTATCCTTTGGTTCGCCTTTTTGTGAGGATTGGAGAGGGGTTTATAGGTTTTTGGAGAGGGTTTGAGGATTAAGAGTGTGACTAGGGGTTAAGAACTTGGGAAATCGGGGGTGAGGAAGAGGATATTGGTTTTAGAAAGAATGAGAGAAGAGGGAAGAGAGTCACCCAAAAATTGGGCAGTCTTTTGGCATGACCTCCCCTAGAACATATTACCGAAGACAACCGAAAAGGTATTGAACACGAGACTCAGATACCTTAGGAGATTCATAAGAAACTATACTGGTGGGTGAACCTGACCAGGATGCGTCTAGAAAGAGCTCCTAAGAGTAACCAATGAATAGAAACAAAATCAGTGAGAGACAAAGAAAAAGTAAGATGAGAAAGTGAGAAAGCAAAGGTAGAGAAGAAAGCAAAGGCACTCCAGGGTGAGTCAAAAGTGGTAGCCCCCACGAAGAGGTTTTAACGAAGAGGACAACCCCTCCTAAGGATTGAAACGAAATGAGAATAGGAGCTGAAG